AGGCCTGTTGAAGACTTTGAGATTGTCAACCAGCTACAAGTTGTTTTATTCTTATCATAGATTTATATTTTTAATTTACCGAATCATTTTCAAGCTGAGATATTTTGTAAAAATAAAAAAATCACAATATTATCAAGTTTTCTTGTACACAAACTCATTCAAAAACATTATTATAAACCAATCATAAACACTGAATCTTGATTGATTCAGTCATTACTTATTAAAAAAAAATCTGTTGAATTGTACAGTTGCTTCGTTTATCTATAAATACATCTTCTCACTTGTATATTATCACAAACACTTGAAATTAAGAGTACATAGAGATGGCCAAACTCAACAAGACCACTTTTCTTGCTTTCTTCTTCTGCTTCCTCATTATTGCATCCTTCGGTAGGTAGTCTTGCACTTGCACTCCATCAGTGGACAGTTTACTTTTCATTATTTTGCAATGCACCATCACATGCAAGTGATTATAATGAGAAAATAACCAGAAACAGTTTATCAGCTTATTCATTGTTTTCATAGTTTTCTTGACACATTTTCGACAAAAAAAAAAAAAAAACAAATTCCTTTGTTGTATCGAGTGAATTTTTGCTTGTTTTTCATTTTTCTTAATATGATAAGAAACTTACAGAATATATACAACTGAGTAAGATTTATGCCTACCACAAAAGAGGTGTTCTTAAAAGTACAACAAAATATTGATGTAAATTTATCGAATAACTGATACTATTTCTCTTTCCCAATCCAATTTTTGTGCAGAGATGCAAATGGGGGAGGCAAAACCTTGCTCAAAACTCAGCAAAGGATGGCGTGGGTTTTGTGCTCCTCATAAATGCAGCCGTTACTGCATCCACCATGAGGGAGCTTACGCTGGTGCTTGTCGAAAACATCACCATAGTAAGCATTATGGTTGCTACTGCTACTACCGTCATTGCTAATCAATGAACCTTATATAATCACGTCGTCTATTACTACATATTTATATGTACTTGTTGCTGTTGGAGGTCATGCCTGTTGCCGGTCTACAAGTTTGTATTGTGTTTATGTTCCCAAATATTGCTATCTTCGAGTGCTTTCATTTGTTCTAAATAAAAGCTGCCTGTGTGAGTTTTTGCAGCAAGTGGTGTCAGTTGTGTTCATGAGTTCGTGTTACTTTTATTGTACTTGTATAACCAAAATAATAAAGATTGTAAGTTTCTTGTAGTATGCTTCTTGATCAAAATATAAAGTGATCTGATGTGTTAAAAACTAGATTTAAATAAATAAATAATTATGTTCACTCATTGAGTATAAGATTTTATACGAAGTGGTTCAACCACATATTAGGGTTTGTCAAATTGAAGTCAAGTTTTGGATCATTTAAACTCACCCTAAGGAATAAAATACTGCCCCCAAAACGAGCGGTATTCCTTTGAAGAAAGGTTTTTCATTTGGGCACAGAGGCTCGTCAATGAAAATATTTAATGACCAATTTAAAGAATTTGTTCTTGAAGACGACATCTTTTTGTTGGTGTTATCCCAATTTTGCCGTTAAATCATAATTCTTGACTAACAAATATGGTTGTACGGATGTTTTAAAACGAAAAATTAGTTCTAGAAAATTTTATTGCAAGAAAGGTCAGTTAACATTTGTTGTTAAACCTACATATCGTAGATTTATCCATCTTGTGCTTGTCTTCAATTCTTACACATCGCTTCATCAANTTTGTTGTTAAACCTACATATCGTTTATTTATCCATCTTGTGTTTGTCTTCAATTCTTACACATCGCTTCATCAAAATAAATAACATTAGTTGTAAAAGAACATTTTATCCATGAAATTGTAAGCTTGCTGTCAATAAGAATTTTGTAATTTTCCAGTTAAATATTTTTCAAAATAAAGTTCTAAGATAAACAAGAATGCACAATACATAAAAAAAACCATGGATCACAAACAAATTATCGACAAATTCAAAGCATTCCTTCACAAATTAATTATTTGTGACAAACATAGAGTTTATTTTGAAGCAATACAAAAGCCGAAGCAGTAAGAAGCACGAACACATTGGTGGAAGTGATTTCAATACATATATAGTTGCTAAACTACTAGCAACTTATTATTTATTTTACTTAAAAGAAGACAGAAAGTATGCATGAGATTAATCTCAGCATTTACGGTAGCAAAAGCAAGCGAATCCCTAGCCCCTCCTATGGCAAGCTCCATGCTGAGCCCCCTCCCAGTTCCTGCACTGCCGGTCACAGTTGTCGGTATTCAGGCACATCNATTGGTGGAAGTGATTTCAATACATATATAGTTGCTAAACTACTAGCAACTTATTATTCATTATACTTAAAAGAACACAGAAAGTATGCATGAGATTAATCTCAGCATTTACGGTAGCAAAAGCAAGCGAATCCCCAGCCCCTCCTATGGCAAGCTCCATGCTGAGCCCCCTCCCAGTTCCTGCACTGCCGGTCGCAGTTGCCGGTATTCAGGCACATCCCCGACCA